TGTCTGTATGCTCGTGACCGCCAATAAACCACATTTAGGAATCTAATCCGAAATCTTTGATACTGCAGAATAACATAATGAATTTCTGTAACGATTCGTATTTCAGTCAAACTTGGTGAGCAAAATTACTGTTTACAAAAACGATTCCAAATGTATAATTGGATAATTTAACCCGAAATCCCAATATATAAATGCCGATGTAGCGGTGTTGCCCGCTGATATCAGTGGCGTCTGATCTGGTGTTTAGGTTCCCCCTGAAAAAACGTGAATTTTACTATAACAATTATTGAACCTCATGGTGGTATTTTCTCACTAATTTCTTACTCTTCAAACAATGTTTAAGAAACTTCAACATGACGCTTGAGAATATTGCGTTTTTAATAAAATTGGGAATATGGGGTGCCTAGATTCGTATCCAATGACTTATAACCACTCATTTTGTGTTTGCTCATTACCTAGGCGCTCATCCTTTCACCAGCAGTAGTGGTATCAAAATACCGTACATTTTTGACTGAATCCTCACCTTGCATTGTGTGAATAACGCACGCCATTTGCTATTGGAAATCTCAAAGAGATGGAACAATCAGTTCACAAATTTACGGAAGTCCAAAACCTTTTTATACCCTGATTTGAGGCACTGGACAGGGTAGGGTTTAACACTTGTACCGGCTCACTGGGTGAATCCTATTTGTACGAGCAAAGTAGCGTTCTTACGCATCGAACAGCCCAAGCTCCAATTCAGGCACGACCAGGGTGTCGACAGGGTAGAAAGATAATAAAGATATAGTGTTTATGAGCCTTTGTATCAACTCAGTGGAAAAATGGCGCCTGTAGTAAAAAAGGCTGTTCAAGCAAACATGGAATATTTGCGCACTAATGAAGCTGGACTGTTTGGTGATTTGATACGCCCATTTCTGTAAGTGGAAAGAAACGTGGTTAAATATGCGTACATTTTAAATCACATTTTGAACACTTACCTACGATATGGAGAAATCTGCTTTTGAGGCATCTGATTGATTCTGATGTTACTAAAAGCGATGAGATCTGTCAATATCGCACATTTGTTTGGTGATTAGTGTCTTTCTGGTTCACGATTTCAGCTGCGCAATAAGATGCAGGTAATAGGTTGTCAGATTCAAAAGCAAGGGTTTCAAAAAGCAAAATTGAAACCCTCTTTCACCATTCGGAAAAACCATCAGAGTCACAAATAACACTGTCTACCAAGATGGCGTGAATTATGAATACACTAATGATAAGGTAATCTACCTGACACGATACCAATACACGGATAGCGACTGAGCAATTTCATCACCCCTGTTTCGTGTTACTTGCTTCGAATGTCTTACTAAGCTTGTTGCTTGCTTCGAACGTTTTACTAATTTGGTATGTCCTAATCAGCGGCTATTTCGCAAGATTTGCTATTTACTTTCTTTGCTTAATGCGCAGAGTGCCAGACTACTCTATGCGCGAGACGTACAACGTACGACGTGAGAGTACAAGTGACATAAGAGTTTTCCTCCATGAAAAGCCACTTGAGCCTGAGTAGTGAATGAATTTCGATGAATTTCATAAAGCATACGCAGGATACGCTGATGCACACGGCCGAACTGCGTCAACCGTTATGGTAGAGCCAGCATCCCAACTCCATACAAGCCTAGTAGGTACCGTGGCTATGGGTAAAACCGGAATAACAAATTTAGCGCAAAACAGGCACCACTGTAACAAATGGGAAAGATGTTATGGTAGAGCATCCCAACTCCATACAAGCCTAGTAGGTACCGTGGCTATGGGTAAAACCGGAATAACAAATTTAGCGCAAAACAGGCAGGCATGTAACAAATGGGAAAGATCCAGGTCAAAGTAGACACAAGATCACTCGCACACGCTCGCGAAGTGAACACACGCGGAAATGCTGGCTGCATTGACCTCAGAACCATACCAAACGGATGGCAACATAGTGGGATTAAATTAACCTGCATCTGACTCTCATTCATTCTCATGACCGCGGCAAACGAAACTTCGGATTGTATAATTGTATTCCAGTGCACCATTTTGTGACTGCAAACTCACCATGATAAACATTACTATGAAAACTACTTCCATATGGGGAAATGTTTAATTGCTCCCATGGGTTCTATTGTTTACCACAAAGTTCCCGGAGTGTATCAGGAAATAACCAGATTTGTGGACTGATGTAAAACAGTTCGCTTATTGTGGTGACGTTTGCCGAATATGTGTTTGTTCATATGCAAACCACTCACGTTTGAAAGTTCGTCATCCTGTTCTGGGGAGAATCCAAACCAGAGAGAAGCGATGGAGTGAGTCCCGCTCTTACTAGAGCTCATCAGCAGTGCAAATTCGATGACCTTGACGGGATTTGAACTCCGAACATCTCGCATTCGAAGTGAACGTGATCTCACTACTCCATCAGCGTACGTCGGATGCATCTGGATTTTCACGTCTGAACAAACGAACTTATTTTACTAGGCTCGAATTGAAAGGTTAGAAAGCCTCCCATTTGAAAATGATGAAGATATGCTTCACAGTCGTCTCTTGGATAAAGGTTCACTTAAATAGATTTATCCTGCCTTGTCAACACATGGAGATAAATCCTGCTTGTACTGGAGTGTCTACGATTGGTGCTAGTTAAATCCCCTTGGAAAAATTGCTGCTACGCAAACATTGGCCGCGTTCAGAAACTACTGGTTAAAATGTTTCCGTTTCGTAAGAACGAACTTCATTATGTTATGCCACAGCTTTGTGAGACGTTAGCTATAGGTCGGTGGTTGTACTTCTATTTTGTTCTCCAGATTGGATCGTCTTCCAAAAATTAAGAAAATTGCACTTTTTCAACTGGTCGAATTCTAATTATTCCTAATGTAAGTTTACATAGCTGGCGTGAGAAGTGAGTTTGCAACTTAGTGGAATATTCTACCCCGGTTTCGTATTGATTTTTGCTAGAATATGTGCTATAATATATGTAAAGCAAGAGGTACATGCAAGCGTCTTGGTCATAGTGCTCCTTTGTCCAGTTGACACGAAGTGTCCCTAAAAGAATGATAACCATATGTCTTTTGTGGAGACCCTAGTCAGTGCCAAAACCCTGAGAATCCTTGTACAGTTGTTCCGTCGAACGGAGATCCCACGGGTGCAGACCCAGGACGATTTTTAAAACAGCTGATAAGACATCATGGGATCTTTAGGCGTATATTTTGAGTTTCCAGTAACAGTCTGATGTCCGCTCAATTAGACCAAGATAAATAGCCCAGATTTTTCTGTGGCTTTCAGAATGGTTCGCCCGAAACATTTTTTGATTCTAGGGGGTTAATTGATTTATTATTACTAAGCGCTTGTGCTTGCTCTGACACCATTAGGCTAAACGTAAGCCATTGCGACTAATTGCACCCATAAAACAAAGTAACACGTACTCTCCAAATTTACTTGAAGCTAGAAAACTATGTGACTTCGTATTTGGGACATTCATGCGGCAGGAGAGTACCAAATTTTTTCGCCTGGCCTAGGAATTCCGGATGGAAAAGTAATCATGTAAAATGCAAAGCTAGGCGAGCCCTAAAAATACAAAACATATTGATCCCTTAAATTATTAGTTCCATCCGAACGCAAAATATATGTCCACAAGCTCAACACGGACGTTTCGGCAGAGCGGTAAAATTTGACGGTCATACAATCTGTTGTGCTCTCTGATTCCATGAAATTCATTGCAGTTCAATTTGATTGATGTGCACATTTTCTATCCAAAAATCTTTGTTTATTCAGTCGTTATTTTGTCGCTTTCAGGAGTTTTGCTTAGACTCACACGAAAAATCAAGTTTCCATTTTGTACAAAATATCGAGCAAAAATTGTGAATTCCATTACATATTGATTAATGCATTCGTGATTATGAGAAAACGAATGCCCCATTTTGTCTGTGACTGACTCGCCTTTCGGGTTTTTTCATTCAGCTCTGATAGTGTCTAAAGGTTTCTTTACAGAATAACTTTTCATGTAAAACTAGCCTCGAAATGTCTCCATTTGGCGTGCACATAAAACAGATGTCTGGATTGTCCTGCTCCTATCCCCGACTGGCATCACGGACGAAAATTCCATACACTACGCAACCATTTACGCTATCCGCGCAACCAGAAAAAGTGTGTATATTACTGAAAATTCAGTTACACCTTCCTTGCCTTAACTCAGAATCCGACAGAAAGGAGTGCTTTGCCTGTTTCATTGCGGTGACTTATGGACAGTTTTTCGGTTAGGGTTTGTCAGTAAAAAATTCTCCAAAGAACGAGATCAAATACCATTTTGGGCCGAGCACGTTTTCCGAGTACGTTGGCCTGGGTCCTACAGCTTCGTCTGGGTAGTCAGATTCGATATTAATAATACACTCGTTGTCGTTGCAGCGTGCATAAACGACACTATAAAAGGTAAGCTTTGTGATCCTTATAACCCATAAAATGGTAATATATGTGAATAGTATTAGTTTCGGGTACAAGACACCACTGGTTTGCAGCAACTGAATTTGTTTGGTTGTTTCCCGTACAAAAGCAGAGCCAAAAATGGAAATAAAACTGACGCTTGCAGCTTTAACCCAAGCATCTTGCGGTGCACGGATGGCTAACATAATAGTCTGGACATTAGACCTAAGTTGGATTTAGCTGTTTGCAATTTTGGTGTTTTGCGAGACAGGTATTTTTGTTCATAGCCACACCACGTTTGAATGGTCGTGTTCCTGTTCTGGAATTTTCCCGGTGAGTCCACACCAAAGGGAAGCACTGGACTTGAGTTTCGCTCCAAAATTGCAACCCCGAAATTGCAACCGAAAATCTGCCTAGTGGGTTTCAAGCTTGTGCCACGCTACCTGACTGGGAACGCCTGAATGGTGGATCAGTCGATCGTCATAACCAGGACAGTTAGTGGGTCGTCGTTCGATTGGTCGGGCAGACCAATCACATCGCTCAAGTGTGAACACGTTCGCCTGTTCAGTCATGATAATTCAGATGCGTCCAACGTGCCTTGGTGGAATATTGGGGTCTGGGGTTCGAATTCCCGGCACCGGGATTGAATGTTCACTGCTGATGAGTTGTAATAAGGGCGAAACTCGAGCTCAGTGCTTCCCTTTGGTGTGGACTTATCGTAATAATTACGCGAGAACAGGAACACGACCGTTCAAAGGGAGTGGTGCGGCCATGAATATAGTTCTTTAGGAGTTACTTACCGTAGCGCGTCCCATCTCAGAGTTACGTGATTTTTTCCCAATGAGGAAAGATGGATTACGTTACGTTTGTGAAAACCCAATAATAGCCGAATATGCTAAGCACATTCTGTCTGGCCTTCAGTCTTAGTTGAGGTGTAAGTCTGTTAATCGCTTTTAGTTTAGTTCGCGCTCTCAATAGATGAAACTTCAGGGCACTGAACGACGCTAAAATATTGGGCGAAATGTAATGGTTCAACCAAATTCCACCCTAGATCCGGTAACGCCAGCATGTCGTTTCATTTCAAAGCCGCTAAGTGATGTTTGCGTCTCAGTTGCGGGAATAAAAAACACTACTGTTTGGCATGCTACTTCAAATCTACCCAGTGAACAATGCTATCAAAGTCTTTATTAAGAATGGCCAAACAAATGCATTTGTGGCCGGAAAAAAACTGATAATTTGCCTATTTGCAACTAACTCGGTGGTAGGCTCAGTGAAAGATCGCGAATCTGATGACCGAAATGACCGTGGTTCAAACCCAACATCTGTTTCTCGGCGTTCCCTGTCTAGGCTGAGGCGCTCTGGCAGAATCCCAACCCTCGTGCTTCCCTCGGGTCGCATGGAGCGCCAAAAAGGGTACTACAGCTAACCTACGAGTACTAGCTAACCGACGAGGAGATTTCCAAGGAGAGGGTTAATCAGAAAGCACATCATAACAAAAGCAACATATAATACAATCACAAAAACAATAGATGAGAAATACAACGCACGCATTACGCGGAAATCCAAGCAAGTCACACTAAACCACGCACACCCTGAGATTTTAATTATCCGTATTTTGAGCATGACATCTTACACCCTGTAACATTGTAACATTTCACTTGATGAAACACAATGAATATTACGTTTGGGTTGGGGTTTAAACCATTTTGATACATGTACGACAGTACAGTATTGAAAAATGTGTCAGTGGTGTTTGGTAATGATGACAGCATGAGATATGAAAATCCTCGAGGAGCACTTATTAGAATCTAGTACGACCCAGTTATTAGGAGGTCATGTATAAACTTCCCAGCTTTGAGTTCCTCAAGCTCAAACAAAAAATTCAGCCATAACACACAAACAGAAGCCAGATTTTCAACATTTCTAACTAAACGGATCGTATTGTACAGAACGATGATGAATATCTATTCAAGGAACATGCAGCTGTCGTATTACTACAGAAAGACTGAAAATTTTGCGTTGGTATCTACAGGTCAGAAACTTGCGTTCAAGCACCATCATGTAGATGTGGGCAAGTATTATTCTTCCTTTATAGGCTGAGATATAGTGATAGACACGTTCCCAGCGTGCACTATCCATCTACACTAATATGCCTAACCTCAGTTTCCGTCATTCCACTGTGGACTTGAACATCATATTAACTGTTGATGCTCATTGGACATCTGTGGGCAAAGCGTATGCCTCTAAATGAAACGCCAAGCTAGAATGGAGTCATTCAAACGGCCACTTTGTCAAGTGTTCCTTGTCCATAACTTCCGGGTCCATCTGAAAAACAGGCCTAAGCTTCCACGTTTTAAATGGTCCCAATATATAATGCAATAAAATAAAAAACAGGTAATCACTAATGGATGATTGCTTGTGTTTTGTTCAAAAACGTTTGCAGAAGTTTCTCTGCGGCGCTCAGGTGGTCATTTATCATTTGATGCTGCCTAACTACACACCCTTTGAAATACTGCAGCCCGAGAACTTTATTTGAGAAAAACTAGGATTTTAATATTTCGTGACATGAGCTAGGCTGTTGTTGTGGCCTCCGGAAAGATCAACTGGCATGCAAGTTTACTTTGTGCTTCCTCGACTTGACCGGGTGGTCATTTTTGACCGAAGTTTGTGGAAAATAAAATTGACCAACGTATCGTGGTCAAAGACTAAACAGTGCGCACAAACATTCTAGGTACTCCCTGTTCGAGTCCACCCGATCAACTGCACCTAACGGATATGGAGAGCAGTCTTCACGTGTGTGATGTGAATAGCGTGGCGTTTAAGAGAGTGTATGTTGTTCTGCTTGCCGATCTTGGCAATATGAATGCAAGCGAGTCATCTATCGTCCAAGACAAATCAGTTTTGTGCGACTGGGTGGACACATCTGACTAGATGCTGGTCCCCATAAGTCATCGGTTGGTAAGCTGCGCCCCGCCAGTTTTTTTTCAAAGATGACAAAACAATTCTAACAGTACTTCTGGTCTTTTCACCAGAGAATAAATTCACCTGAATGACCTATGGGCCAAACCAGAGAGAAGCGCTGGAGTGAGTCCCGCTCTTACTAGAGCTCATCAGCAGTGCAAATTCGATGACCTTGACGGGATTTGAACTCCGAACATCTCGCATTCGAAGTGAACGTGATCTCACTACTCCATCAGCGTACGTCGGATGCATCTGGATTTTCACGTCTGAACAAACCTCTGTAACGATTCGTATTTCAGTCAAATTTGGTGAGCAAAATTATTGTTTACAAAAACGATTCCAAAGGTATAATTGGATAATTTAACCCGAGATCCTAATATATAAGTGCGGATCTAGCGTGGTTGCCCACTGATATCAGCGGCGTCTGATCTGATGTTCAGGTTCCACCTGAAAAAACGTGAATTTTACTATATTGAACCTTATGGTGGTACTTTCTCATTAATTTCTTACTCTTCAAACAATGTTTAAGAAATTTCAACACAACGCTTGAGAATATCCCGTTTCCAATAAAATTGGGAATATGGGGTGTCTAACTTCGTATCCAGTGACTTGTAACCACTCATTTTGTGTTTGCTCATTACTAAGGCGCACATCCTTCCACCAGCAGTAGTGGTATCAAAATACCGTAACTTTTTGCATAGCTGGCGTGAGAAGTGAGTTTGCAACTTAGTGGAATATTCTACCCCGGTTTCGTATTGATTTTTGCTAGAATATGTGCTATAATATATGTAAAGCAAGAGGTACATGCAAGCGTCTTGGTCATAGTGCTCCTTTGTCCAGTTGACACGAAGTGTCCCTAAAAGAATGATAACCATATGTCTTTTGTGGAGACCCTAGTCAGTGCCAAAACCCTGAGAATCCTTGTACAGTTGTTCCGTCGAACGGAGATCCCACGGGTGCAGACCCAGGACGATTTTTAAAACAGCTGATAAGACATCATGGGATCTTTAGGCGTATATTTTGAGTTTCCAGTAACAGTCTGATGTCCGCTCAATTAGACCAAGATAAATAGCCCAGATTTTTCTGTGGCTTTCAGAATGGTTCGCCCGAAACATTTTTTGATTCTAGGGGGTTAATTGATTTATTATTACTAAGCGCTTGTGCTTGCTCTGACACCATTAGGCTAAACGTAAGCCATTGCGACTAATTGCACCCATAAAACAAAGTAACACGTACTCTCCAAATTTACTTGAAGCTAGAAAACTATGTGACTTCGTATTTGGGACATTCATGCGGCAGGAGAGTACCAAATTTTTTCGCCTGGCCTAGGAATTCCGGATGGAAAAGTAATCATGTAAAATGCAAAGCTAGGCGAGCCCTAAAAATACAAAACATATTGATCCCTTAAATTATTAGTTCCATCCGAACGCAAAATATATGTCCACAAGCTCAACACGGACGTTTCGGCAGAGCGGTAAAATTTGACGGTCATACAATCTGTTGTGCTCTCTGATTCCATGAAATTCATTGCAGTTCAATTTGATTGATGTGCACATTTTCTATCCAAAAATCTTTGTTTATTCAGTCGTTATTTTGTCGCTTTCAGGAGTTTTGCTTAGACTCACACGAAAAATCAAGTTTCCATTTTGTACAAAATATCGAGCAAAAATTGTGAATTCCATTACATATTGATTAATGCATTCGTGATTATGAGAAAACGAATGCCCCATTTTGTCTGTGACTGACTCGCCTTTCGGGTTTTTTCATTCAGCTCTGATAGTGTCTAAAGGTTTCTTTACAGAATAACTTTTCATGTAAAACTAGCCTCGAAATGTCTCCATTTGGCGTGCACATAAAACAGATGTCTGGATTGTCCTGCTCCTATCCCCGACTGGCATCACGGACGAAAATTCCATACACTACGCAACCATTTACGCTATCCGCGCAACCAGAAAAAGTGTGTATATTACTGAAAATTCAGTTACACCTTCCTTGCCTTAACTCAGAATCCGACAGAAAGGAGTGCTTTGCCTGTTTCATTGCGGTGACTTATGGACAGTTTTTCGGGTAGGGTTTGTCAGTAAAAAATTCTCCAAAGAACGAGATCAAATACCATTTTGGGCCGAGCACGTTTTCCGAGTACGCTGGCCTGGGTCCTACAGCTTCGTCTGGGTAGTCAGATTCGATATTAATAATACACTCGTTGTCGTTGCAGCGTGCATAAACGACACTATAAAAGGTAAGCTTTGTGATCCTTATAACCCATAAAATGGTAATATATGTGAATAGTATTAGTTTCGGGTACAAGACACCACTGGTTTGCAGCAACTGAATTTGTTTGGTTGTTTCCCGTACAAAAGCAGAGCCAAAAATGGAAATAAAACTGACGCTTGCAGCTTTAACCCAAGCATCTTGCGGTGCACGGATGGCTAACATAATAGTCTGGACATTAGACCTAAGTTGGATTTAGCTGTTTGCAATTTTGGTGTTTTGCGAGACAGGTATTTTTGTTCATAGCCACACCACGTTTGAATGGTCGTGTTCCTGTTCTGGAATTTTCCCGGTGAGTCCACACCAAAGGGAAGCACTGGACTTGAGTTTCGCTCCAAAATTGCAACCCCAAAATTGCAACCGAAAATCTGCCTAGTGGGTTTCAAGCTTGTGCCACGCTACCTGACTGGGAACGCCTGAATGGTGGGTCAATCGATCGTCATAACCAGGACAGTTAGTGGGTCGTCGTTCGATTGGTCGGGCAGACCAATCACATCGCTCAAGTGTGAACACGTTCGCCTGTTCAGTCATGATAATTCAGATGCGTCCAACGTGCCTTGGTGGAATATTGGGGTCTGGGGTTCGAATTCCCGGCACCGGGATTGAATGTTCACTGCTGATGAGTTGTAATAAGGGCGAAACTCGAGCTCAGTGCTTCCCTTTGGTGTGGACTTATCGTAATAATTACGCGAGAACAGGAACACGACCGTTCAAAGGGAGTGGTGCGGCCATGAATATAGTTCTTTAGGAGTTACTTACCGTAGCGCGTCCCATCTCAGAGTTACGTGATTTTTTCCCAATGAGGAAAGATGGATTACGTTACGTTTGTGAAAACCCAATAATAGCCGAATATGCTAAGCACATTCTGTCTGGCCTTCAGTCTTAGTTGAGGTGTAAGTCTGTTAATCGCTTTTAGTTTAGTTCGCGCTCTCAATAGATGAAACTTCAGGGCACTGAACGACGCTAAAATATTGGGCGAAATGTAATGGTTCAACCAAATTCCACCCTAGATCCGGTAACGCCAGCATGTCGTTTCATTTCAAAGCCGCTAAGTGATGTTTGCGTCTCAGTTGCGGGAATAAAAAACACTACTGTTTGGCATGCTACTTCAAATCTACCCAGTGAACAATGCTATCAAAGTCTTTATTAAGAATGGCCAAACAAATGCATTTGTGGCCGGAAAAAAACTGATAATTTGCCTATTTGCAACTAACTCGGTGGTAGGCTCAGTGAAAGATCGCGAATCTGATGACCGAAATGACCGTGGTTCAAACCCAACATCTGTTTCTCGGCGTTCCCTGTCTAGGCTGAGGCGCTCTGGCAGAATCCCAACCCTCGTGCTTCCCTCGGGTCGCATGGAGCGCCAAAAAGGGTACTACAGCTAACCTACGAGTACTAGCTAACCGACGAGGAGATTTCCAAGGAGAGGGTTAATCAGAAAGCACATCATAACAAAAGCAACATATAATACAATCACAAAAACAATAGATGAGAAATACAACGCACGCATTACGCGGAAATCCAAGCAAGTCACACTAAACCACGCACACCCTGAGATTTTAATTATCCGTATTTTGAGCATGACATCTTACACCCTGTAACATTGTAACATTTCACTTGATGAAACACAATGAATATTACGTTTGGGTTGGGGTTTAAACCATTTTGATACATGTACGACAGTACAGTATTGAAAAATGTGTCAGTGGTGTTTGGTAATGATAATAGCATGAGATATGAAAATCCTCGAGGAGCACTTATTAGAATCTAGTACGACCCAGTTATTAGGAGGTCATGTATAAACTTCCCAGCTTTGAGTTCCTCAAGCTCAAACAAAAAATTCAGCCATAACACACAAACAGAAGCCAGATTTTCAACATTTCTAACTAAACGGATCGTATTGTACAGAACGATGATGAATATCTATTCAAGGAACATGCAGCTGTCGTATTACTACAGAAAGACTGAAAATTTTGCGTTGGTATCTACAATTTCAAACGACGTTGAAGCGGAGAAAAGAGAAGAAACATGGGACGCGTCTCAGCGTTTGGATGGAAACCAATGCTGAGAAGATTGTTCGGATTCATTCAGTTTTTTTATCAGGTTTGCAGCTGCGGATTTACTGCATTCATTTTCTGTACTTTGTGAAGAAGAGACCCATTGCTCGCTGAATGTCTCACCAATGACAATACATTTATTTAAGTTGAGAAAACGATGAAACCATCAAAACGCTTTTTATAGTGAGCAGTAGTCACCAAAAGTTCGAGTGATCTTGGTAGTCTTGTGCTCGGGGCGAAAACAACCATCCAGCTATCGCCAAATGCTCGCATGGTTGCTACTGACTCCCTATCCCAGGGTGATGATGTGCAACTAGTAGCTCCAATTGAATCGGGATATATAAGTGAAATTCGAAGTCACGAATAAAAGATCATCCAATATTCGTTTTATATGAAGGTCAACTTGAGGTCTTGCTTGTGGACCCCCTCTTAGATTTACTCCAACAAAATAGAGGCTGGAGCCTGTTTGCTTACTTCAAACTCAACGCGCGTCGGTGCGGGGTGAACGGGTCCATATTATTTACCATTTGACCAACAGGTGCAGCCAACACCTGAAGCCCATATGTTACTATCTTAGAGCGCCGTGGAGAAACCTAATAAATATAATACTAAATATTGGAAATAAACTGGGTCTTTACCGCAATATAATAGATGAAAATATAGGGTGTGGAACAAATCGAATAAAAAAAGATTCTTTATGTACTGCTATCGATTTCCTGAGATGTGGTTAAAAGTGGTGTTTGCGAATAACGTAAGGCAAAAAAAGGTCATGAGTAAGAACCATGATAATAATGATGGCACCACAAATTGTTTCTACTTCTAGATACACGTGTTGCGACGTTATGTGAGTAGCATATATGTCTTGGTACTTATAAATTTAATAGTAGGACGATGAATGCATGGCGTTTTGGACAAAATCTCTGCACACAATCTCTGTGCACAAAATATGCCCAGAAAACATATGCGTACTCGTCCTATATTGACCTGGACGACAAACTTTTGGACGATCCACTAGATGCTCATATATTGTTTATAGTTTAAACCAAGTATTTTATATTTCATCAGTTATATTATACAATATTATTTTACTTCATTCTATTATAATGAAAAATTTCAACAGTGACTTGTGAGAGGGTGAAAAACAGCGAGATTCTGCTTCATTGGATTTCCTCCAGGAATGGACAATGGCATTGGTTGAAAAGCAAACGGAAAACCGCGACGCAGGTAGTGATTAGATCGCAAAAGCTATACCGGCGTTAACTCTGTGTCCAACATCGTAAGAACTTTGGGTAGGCCTAGCCATTCATCAGTTTTTCAGACTTGATATGTTTGAATAGTTCTTGGGTCCCACTGTGACATGTTTCGCGTTCTAGAAATTGAAAGATGGCCCTCGGAATAGGCGGCTATTTTCCGGCGCTTAGATCAACTTAATTATCCTGTTTAGAGGTTCATTTTTACTGCCGATCTCCAACGAATCCACTTTTAACGCTTATTATTCATGTTGAACCATAGTCATTTATTTTTCGCAGCTCGGTTAAACTCAGAAAAAGGAGACAGAGAGTTAACTTGTCGCTCACCGGTGAAATGCAACTCACTGCTGTCCAGTGCGGATTCCTATGGCCGTCCTTTAAAACTACAAGTTAAGCCAGTCTCAGATAAAATTTGTATATAAATTATCGTACACTTACAGGCGTTGTTGGTGGTGACATTGTAAAATGCACGCTTACATAAAGCTCGTTCGTCCGTTTGTCCTCCTGCCCTGGAATTTCGTCTTTCCAATTATTCCTAACTTCCATGTAGAATACAAAGAGCGCGATTCTAGGGCTTTAAAGAGCGCGATTCTAAATTAACCAAAAGCCAGATGCTAAAAACATAAATCAAGAATGCAACTACAGTGAGTCTACAGACGGAACTGTCATCAAAACTCAGGAGAAAAGAGCAGCTCTAAAGGAGTTTGCCCACTATCACCTAGTTAATTAGACCTAATATTTGTGTGCGCACTGAACTGGAAAAAGTAGGTGTAGCGGCTAAACACTGGAAGATTGCTTCGGTATTTTAACTGAACAAAGTGTGCTTTACGGTGTGCTAGGAACCATCGAGACGAGCTACCCATCCGAAAACTTAAAGGGCAGAGCAACCCGCTCATTTACAGAACTTGGCTGCAAGAAATACGTGCCCGTAATGGTAGCGTTGCAAATGGTGCCATGCAAAAACCATAAGGCGATTAATTTTGCCGAGACACAATTTCATTTTGGAATCGATCGATACCCGACACGAATTAAAGTGCAATCCATCCATGCTTGATTCACCGCTGAAATTTGCTCTTGTGTTTGCACCAGCTGTGCAAAACCCATCGTTCGCAAAACCAGAAAATCAGTGCCTTTGTGCAATCCTGTCGGAGTGCTTTTTAGAAAGCCCTATTCTAAAACGCCCATGGGATACACTCTTCCGGGCCAGCGGATATCACTCAACGTGAGCAATTCATTTTCTCAAGTACCCTATTACATGCTATCCGAATCTCATTTGCAAGAGTCGTTGGTAGCCAATACTTTGCAGATTGATTGATTCAAACAAAGCATTGGTCTGTCCAATAACAAGCAAGTAGACAGCCACAAACACTAGGTGTAGAGAGTTCCGCAGCGTATCTTCCTCAGGTTGTAACGAAGTCTACAATGAACCACATATGTGTGTTCAGGAGTTCAATGATGTTCATTTGAAATCCAAAGCGGCAAATGTTGCCTGAAATGTCATAGTGTATAGCTAGGGGATTTTATCATCCATAAAATATAGCAGACCGAGCGCGAAGAATAGGTCATAGTTCATCAGAAAGTAGCCTATATGGTGCACGAGTAGTTTCCATGCAGGTGTTGGTACAACATCCAGGATAACAAACTGATCAAAGAAGAAGCGACTTGAAATCAGCAATTAGATGTCACCTCTTTACCCCAGGTATAATTTTTATATCTGTTTTACTCAATAATTGGATGTGTTATAGAATATAGTAAAACAACGGAGTAAGGAACCTGCCAAATTCGTTGTTAATATAAGCCAACAGACTCATCATCAGAATGTGCGGACCTGGAACTCAAATGGCAAGACCAGAATTATCGGGCCTTATAAACGCCTAAATGCAACTCGTGTGCTTTTCAGTGCGGTGGTGGATGACTCATGTGAATAAATGTTCCCCTAGACTTAATGAGCTTTACTAGTTGAAACGTTGCCTAAAATAGCGATCCAATTTTTTCCAGCGAAGGGTGAGTTTTGATATCGCTCAGTAGTTGTCATTTAATTGGTCGAACGAGGAATAAATGTAACGAAATGGGTTGTCGTGTTTTTACTCTTTATGGCATCTCTGTGATACTGCACGCGGCTGAGATAGTACGTTGGTCCAAAGCAACCCCATGCTGTTGCCATTTGTACGGAATGAACTTAAATGTCTTCACTGTGACGTGTTCATTTTCTCTAAAAGGAGAA